TCTGTTCTGGGAAGGGGCTGTGTCCCGCCTCTCCCTCTCTATACCCGTTCATAAGCCGACCCCTTTCTCTGGTGCTTCCCTTTTTTACTAAAAAAATTCAGCTTATGAACGAGTATATACGGTATATTATTAGTCTATTGCCTTTCAAGGTCTCTCTTTCACTCTTTGCTCGAATAAATAGGCTTATGGTGCAATTTACATGGGATATAAAACAGCTTCACTTGTCACAATGGACTTCTGAAAAATCCTGGGCAACTGAAGGTTACATGGGGTTGCCAGATTTTTATCTATATTATCCAGCATTCCAATTGTGTCTTATTGTAAGGTGGTTCCACTCCAGTGGCTCTGTATACACATTGGCCTGGTTTGAGATAGAAAAAAGTTCAGGTATACCGTTCGGTTCCTGCTCTTCTTTTATATATCTTAAGAGGCTACCCACACCCTTAAGGAAAAATCCAGTCTTTGTATCTACATGGCGCATCCTGCAACATGTTAAAATGATTAAAGCATCCAATCTTACTAATTCTCTTCTCGTACCACTATGTGATAACCCACTCCTCAGTATCAAGGCCAACTCCATGCTTAAGACAATTTGGATAGAAAAAAGAACTAACAAAAATTAAAGACCTCATACAAAATGATACACATGTTGTCTAAGGAGGCCAGTCTAACAAATATCAGTATCACTGTTTCACGGTTCCTTCTTTCTGCAGCTATGCTCAAGGATTCATGCACAGATGGGGAAAACTGGTCCATTTCAACTCTCTCACCTCTAGAAGAAAATGTTAAGAAATATGGAAACAAGAGTCACTTTGTAGGAATTACTGATATGTAATGATATTACTGATATGTGGTTTAAGGCTCTGAAGTAACCTCTGTCTCAGTCTCAAATAACAATGATAAAAAGAATTTAGCCTCACTATCACAACAGAAACCTGGGAGGATATCTGGCTTAATGTGAAAGACACTTCAAGTTTTTCATCCTTGCGATTCTTCCAGAGCAAGATATTAAAAAGGTACTACAGTAATTCCCCACTTAAATGTCCTCTCGCTTAACGTTGTTTCGATCTTACGTCCCTGCTCCATTACAGAACATGCTCATTTAAAGTTGTGCAATGCTCCGCTATAACGTTGTTTGGTTGCCTGCTTTGTCCACAGCTGGCAGCCCCCGTATCAGCTCTCCTATGCCCCCCCAGCGCCTCCCCCACAGATCAACGCCTTCACCCTGCTCCCCCCGCCTCCTGCCCACGGCAATCAGCTGGTTTGCGGTGTTCAGGAGGGAGGGGGAGGAGCGAGGACTCGGCGTGCAGGCTCCCCCTCCCTCCCCTGCCTCCTGAATGCCACAAATCAGCTGACTGCCGTAGGCAGGGGGGGGGGAGGAGCGAGGATGTGGTGTGCGGAGTAAAGGGGGAGGAGGTGGGGGAGAGAAGAGGCAGGTAAAGGGTGGGGGCTTGGGGGAAGGGGTGGAGTGGGTGGGCCGAGGGTTGAGCCCCCCACCCCTGGTGCTTGCACAGTAGGGGAAGCTGCAGCTGCTGTTGCGCAACGTGTTTCTCCTAGCCTACAGCACCTTCAGCCTCCTTGCCTGCCTCATTGTCTGCAGTGCCAGTGGACTGTGCCTGTGTGGGGTAGGGCGGGGGCACCTCCCATTGCTTCATACTCAGCAATGATGACTGTAGTATTAAATTGTTTCTTTAAAATTGTTTAAAATGTATATAATGCCTTTTGTCGGGCAAAAAAAATTTCCCTGGAACCTAACCCCCGCTATTGACATTAATTCTTATGGGGAATTGGATTCGCTTAACACTGTTTCGCTTAAAGTTGCATTTTTCAGGAACATAACTACAACGTTAAGTGAGGAGTTACTGTACTGAACTCCAGGACATTTAAGTCAGGGATCTCAAATGTCTGGCCCGCGGGCCATCTATGGCCCGCAAGCCTCCCCAGTGTGGCCCGGGGGGCTCCAGCAGTTTTGGGGCCGGGTCTCTCCATTGGCCCCACCTGCTGCCCCCGGGCGCTCCCCACTCAGGGGCCCCGGCAGCGCAGCAGAGCTGAGCAGTGTCTGCCTGCTTGCTCCAGTGGCTGCCAGCCCCTCCCTGCGGCCCAGTGGTGGGGCGGGGCTGTGCCTCCGTGTGCTGCCCCCGCCCCGAGCGCCCCTGCGGCCAATGGGATGCTGCGGGAGTGGTGCCTGGGGGCAGAAGCGCGTGGAGGCCCCCCGGCCTGCCCTGCCTTGGAGCCCCAGGTAAGCACCACACCCCTGCTTCCTCCCAGAGCCTGCACCCCTTTCCCCTTCCCATACACCCCCGCAGTCCCCAAACTCCCTCCCAGAGCCTGCACCCCCTCCCTACACCCCCTGCAGTCCCCAAACTCCCTCCCAGAGCCTGCACCCCCTCCTCACATTCCCCCAGCCCCCAAACTCCCTCCCAGAGCCTGCACCCCCTTCCCATGCACCCCACCAGCCCCAAACTCCCATCCCAGAGCCTGCACCCCCTCCCCACACACCCCTCAGCCCCCAAACTCCATCCCAAAGCCTGCATCCCAGGCGCCTTCCCCCACCCAAACTCCCTCCCAGAGCCCAACCTCTCAGCCCTTCTGCATCCAAACTCCCTCCGAGAGCCTGCACCCCAATCCCCTACCCCAGACCTCTTCCCCCACCCAAACGCCATCCCAGAGCCTTAGGCAGGTGGGGGGGGGCGGAGTTTTTTGGGAGGCGGGTTCTGGGCAGCATGAGTGACATTGGCCCTCTGGGAGGATTTGAGGACTGGCACTGGCCCTAAGGTAAACTGAGTTTGAGACCCCTGGTTTAAGGCTAGATTGGCAAAATACAGAGGCAAACAGCCACATGCCAACCTTTTGCACATCCTCTATACCTGTCAAAAAATGCATTTTTCTGGAACACCATATTCAGTACTTTCTCAAAATTTTTGAGTGTCCCTATCTTTCCTTCTCCAAGCTTGTGTATTTTAGGGATGCTGTATGAGACTTAGTAATGCCAGTTAGTATTAAGGAATGGATTGCAGAAACCTTTAGTGGCCAAAAAAGAGTTATTTTGAAAAAAAATGAAATCTGCAATTCCTCCCTTATACACAGACTGGCTGAGTCAGCTCTCTGCTACTGCATTAATGGAAAAAATTACTATCTACTAGAAATGCTTGGAAAAATATGAAGATGTCTGGTTACACATGAAACTATTGCATATTTTTGCAGTTTAGTATGTATTAGTCTCCAGTACTCATAGGTTTATGTTCTCACTTATTTATCTATTTAGTCACTTTAATAATTAATGCCCTGCATGACTTCTATGGGTTCAGTTTTGTTTGTTTTTTCCATGTTTTGCAAATAATTAATATTGAATTTTCTTATTTATATTCTATTTCCATTGTGTGCATGTATTTTTATTTATGTTTTGAGTTTCATTATGTGTTTATATTTTATACAAAAATAAAAATAAAGTTAAAAGAAGAAAATTCTAGTTTGCTAATATTATGAATCACCTTTTCTGTTGTTGTATTTAGTTTAGCTTTGCTGTTATTAAAATGTCTTCGGGAAACTATGTTGTACATTTAGCATCCAATATCATGTGGAGGAGAGTAGAAAGACTAGCAATCAAGAATGGAGCAGACAGGCACAACAGCCAATCATTTTGTGTATAGTTGTGCTTTCAATTAGAGAAAAACAGTGTCCTTATTTGTACTGTTTAGGGGGACACGGTAAACAGTATAATTTATTATTTTAGTTTTCAGGTTTGCATGCCCTCAATCCCCTTTCTCTCCTCAAAAAAAGAGACTGTCAGGACACTTTGAATAGATGCTTATTATTTTACAGCAAGTCAAATTTTGGTCTATCAACATCTATAGTTAGCATATTTAGCAAGGGAAGAAACACAGAGCTAATTTTCAAACTTGGGTGCCTACAGTAGCCTAAATCTACCCTGAAGTGCCTAAAATGGTTATTTTCCAGTAGTCGCTTAAAAAAAGGTCTCAGGTGCATAACTTTAGGCATCAAAGCTTGAAAATGGAGCCCAGAGATTGGTTGCAGTGTTTAAAGCCTAAAGAAGGGTAGCAAAAGAATAGAGTGTGAACCTAGAGGAAATAGGGAGGAAAACATGTTTTAATATGAGTGTTGTTTCCTTTTTTTGAGGGAATGGATGTATTCCTAAATTGATGTAAAGATGCTTAGACATTATGGCAATTAGCAACTTAGAACTGTGAATAGTAATCAAGGCCCCATGTACTCTGTGGCTAACTGAACCTAAATTGTGCATGAAGGTCCTTGGATTCTGTGGCATACTGAAGCAGCAGACTAGAAACTGTGCAGTAGCTTCATTTTAAAAAAATCAAGCCGTGTAATGAATTAGATATGAAAATAATCAGTCAGAGTAGCCATGGTGACATCTAGTTTGATATTAAATTCAAATTATTTTAAATTGTCCCCACGTTTTCAATTTTTGTGATGGTGCAGATTTTTAAACTGGCAACATATAAAAGTTGCCAGAGGGAAGCAGAAGGTTTTAGGAGCTGGATAGGGTATGGTAGGAGCTCTGGCACGGGGCGGGGGAAGCATGGAAGGGACTTTGGAATTTTGGGATAAGAACATGAGCTGGATTATTAGCAGCAAAACAATTAACAGTGTTAGATATTTAAACAGTCATCTTTAGTTTTCAGAGTTAGTTGTCCTTTCAGATAAATGGGGCATTTAACATCTTTCACAGCTATTGTTTCAGGCTGTCTGCAGACTCAAGATAAAAAAGTGTAAAGTGATAGTATTTTCCTAAGGTTATCTTCAGGTCTAGATACATAATATTTTAGAGGAAAACTGTGATCCTAGGGCACATTTATGCAGCAGAGAGTATATTCTGTGGCCAAGTAACCATGCAATACAGGAGGTTAACACAACATACTAAGTAATTCATTACTACTACTATTTAATAATGTAGTGGAGGCGGCGGTGTCTATGTTCTCACCTAAAGGTACTGTTTTAGAATTCCAAATCTATTTTCTTACCTTAAACAGAGAGGAGAACACATGAAATGTATAAACTGCGCAGGACCCATCAGAATCGCACATGAGTTGGTTGATATGACTACGCCAGGCTTCTTCTGCATCATCACATGCAGCTGGCTGAAATGCAGCAAGGATGGCAGAAAAGAACGGAGAGGGAGGAGGGGAGGCATTTCTGTCACCTTCACCAAAACTGGAGGAGAAGAGAAAAATAAACCATCTAACTCTATAATGCAAATACATCCAAAAGAGGCTGTAGATAAGATGCTTATTGTCTTAGCATGCTGCAATAAATTGATGTAATCTGAATACCACTAAAGTATCTTCCTATCATAACTAGAATCTTGTCAATTACTGCTTGAGACTGGTGAGATGTGAGATTATAACTCAATAGCTCTAAATCAGAATGCCCACCCATAACTTTTTTCCTTAAAAATATGTTTTACAAGTAAGTGTTTTTCAATTATTAATTTTATCTTTCTTTTTCTTTTTGTGTATTGAATACATTCAAAAGGTTGAGCTTAAGCATCTGCAGCACACACTACTGGTATAAGAAAATGTTGTCTTAGTAACATATGCACAATTATCTACAATATTTTAAAGCACTGGTTCTCAAAGCTGGTCCACCACTTGTTCAGGGAAAGCCCCTGGCGGGCCCGGCCGGTTTGTTTACCTGCCGCGTCCGCAGGTTCGGCCGATCGTGGCTCTCAGTGGCTGCGGTTCGCCGCTCCAGTCCAATGGGGGCTGCAGGAAGGGAGGCCAGTACATCCCTCAGCCCGCGCCGCTTCCCGCAGCCCCCATTGGCCTGGAGCGGCTAACTGCGGCCAGTGGGAGCTGTGATCGGCCGAACCTGTGGACATGGCAGGTAAACAAACCAGCCCGGCCTGCCAGGGGCTTTGCCTGAACAAGCGGCGGACCGGCTTTGAGAACCACTGTTTTAAAGCAGGCCTCGCTATATAATTAAGGTTACAGAAGTGTTTCCATTCTAATCCTTATTTTCAGTTGCACAGAACTTTCTGAAATTATCACCTACTGGGCTGATATTTTCCATACTTGGTTTCTGCTCAAAAGTTAACATTTTGGAAAGTTTGAGCAAATATTGTATAGCTGTTTTTGAGTAGCAGCAGAGTAAAAATAAACACACTTTCCTCATTGTTCTCCTCTCTCCCTCAAATATGTTCTGAGTAGCTTTACGGTCCATGAGGTTGGAGGAAGAAAGTGAGAATTTGGCAGAGAAATAGACCCAATTGAGGAGAAGGGCCTTTTGCTTTCAGTGGAAATTGGTTTTGATATAACTTGAGTATGACCTATGGAAAACTGCACTTTGTACACGGGTAGTAAGTTTTGAAAGGGTTTTCCTGCTGTGTCGGGTGGAGATGCATTGTCCTAAGGGGAGCTCTCAGAGGAATTCTCTCTCAGGGAGGAAGAATTCTTCCTGAAACATGGTGCAACAGGGGAATGTGCTGGCCAATACTTCCTTTAGGAGGTGCTAAAACACTCCCTCCTGGGCATTCCCCCTGTGGAATGCTGCATGTACATGGAGAAAACAGTCCCTGTGCTCCCCTGAAAGCCTGACTGCTCTGAGAAATCTGGCTATCTGGGGATGCTGTGCCAAAGAGCCAGAGGATCCTGCAAATAGAACTCTACTAATGGCTAATACTTAGTGTACTGTGGTGCTGGGCTGATGATCTTTATCCATACTTTCTAACTAATCCTAGACTTTCTTCAAGATTTCCAGGATCTCTTGAATTAGCATTGCTTTCCTGGCACCAAAGGTTGAACTTGGTCCAGATGGAAGAATAGACTTTTATTGTGGATACTCTCCTGGATGCAAGCAAAATCCTGATCAATTTGGAAGATAGGCCTAGTATGGTTAATGCCTTCCTTCCAACAACAGTGCAGGCAGTCAATTGAAGATGGTCTGGGTGGAGAAAAGGGCCTTGGAAAAGAATGTCCAGTCTGGGTGGCAGGTGTCATGTTGATTCCAATTTCAGCTTGATCAGGTTGCAGAATCTCCTTGGCCAGTACGGAGCTATTACAACCACCTTCACTTATTCCCATTTTATCTTTTGGATTACTTGCCCTATGAGGAAAGGGCGGGAATGCATATAGCAGGCCTTGTGGCCACCTGCATGACCCCTATGATACCAGGAGGTTCAGTAGCTGGAAGAACTGAGCTATGGTTGTTTTGGTGCACTTGTGCAGGACAGAGATGAGCTCCTGGATCTTCTGGAACCTGTAGAGTGATTGGTAGATCTTCGCCACTGAGCTCTCTCTGTCCACTCCCAGGTGGGTTATCCTTACTGATGGGATCAAGGAACTTTTCTTGATGTCTGTCACAAAGCTGTGGGCTTGCAGGAGGTCCAGAGTTTGCATCATGCGCTGTAGGCTAGGTCGGATTTCTCATTAGAATATCATCCAGACAGGAGTATAGATGAGTCCCTTGTGACCTGAACCTGGCTCTGACCACCAGCATCTTCGTAAAGATCTTTAGGGATGATGAGAGACCGAATGGGAGGGTTTGGTACTGGTATTGCTTTGTGCCATAAGCAAATCTCAGAAGTCTGTGGTGGCACAGGTGGATGGGGATACGAAGACATTCGTCCGCCAGATCTATTAGGTTAGGAGATCCCCATGACACGGGGATGTCACCATAGAAACTAGGGTCTACATCAGGAATTTTGTTTTTGTCATCCATTTGTTGAGCTTTCTGATATTTAGAATGGCTCTGACTCCCCTTGTATGCTTTAGAACGATGAAGAAGCCTGTAGCGTATGAACTCTATGTTTCGGAACGATGAAGAGTAGAACCCTGAGAACTTTTCTGCTGAGGGAACAACTTCCATAGCTCCTACATCCAGCAGATGGGAGATTTAATTATGGATCAATTTGTGCTTGATGGGAATGGTGGAGATGGGGGACTGGATGAAGAAGGGGGAGGGAGGAGCCCATAGCTCAAGGGAATATCCCTGACTTACTGTCTCTCTTACCAGTTATCTGTGGTCGATACAAACCATTCTTTTGAGAAGTAGGAAATTCTGCCTTCTAGATTCAGTTCTGGGCTGAGGCATATCTGCTCATTGTCAGGATGGGCTTTTGAGGGTTGCAGGCCAACCTCTGGGCTTTCTGCTTGAACTCTGGCACCGGGGCTTTCCCTTGGTGTATCTGCTATGCTTCTTCTGGTACTTCAGCAAGGAAGAATAATGAAAGGAGCACCTCTGCCTGAAGGTGTGTTTGTATTCCCTCCTGCAGGTACTCAATGGAGAAGGGAGGGACTGCTTATATTTAGGAGCATTTTCTGCCACAATGTTATCTAATTTTTCTCCAAAGAGGAGAGATCCTATGAACTTGGAGGGACACAAGACTTGCTTAGAGTGTCTACCTTCCAAGGATGGAGCCAGACATGATGCCTGGCCACTGAGCTGGATGCCACAGTCTTGGCTGAAAAATCTCATTGCATCCATTGAAACATCAGCCACAAATGCTGTTGCCAGGGCAATTTTCTTGAGAAGAGAGCAGAAGTCAGGATGATCCCTGACCTTCAGGGTCCTGAGGTCTTCCACCCAGGACTGTGAAGCTCTTGCAAAGCACGTGGATATGAGAGATGCTCTGAGAGGGGCTGAGGATGACCTGAAGTCTCTTTCTAAGAGTGGTCTCCACTTTCCTATCTGTGGGGTCCTTAGGAAAGAATTCCCCTTCAGTCAGAATAAACATATCTCCTGCTAAGGATGCTACTGCAACATCCAACTTTGGAACCTCAGCTACACAATTTTTTGGCTCTTTCAGCTTGTAAAATCTAAGACCATATCTATTAATGTGCTTGCCCTGTCGGGTTTTCCTCACTCCTCTTTAATCGTATCCTCAAAAGTGAAGTGCAGGGGAATTGCAGCCTCGAGGGAGGATTCTGAAGGGAAGTATTTACTTTGAGGCTTGTCCTCAGGAGCCTCTTCAGGTTGGATCTGTGGTAGACACAATCTTTTTGCATATGGCCTCAAACTTCTTTAGGGGAAATTTTTTGTTGTTGCATTTTCCCCAAATCCTGCTCACATTTAGAGCCCAGGAGAGGAGGACGAGGCTGAGGTCGTCTCGATTTTTTGTACTTTTTCTTTCCCTTTTTGTTCTTTCTGGACTTTTTGACTTATTGGCACACTTTGTGGGCATGGCTACCCAGGGATGGCCAGAACGCGGTCTCTCGCAGCCTGCCTTACACAGAGCCCAAAGCTTTCTAGAGAGTTTTCTCTCAGAGTCTTCCCTGTCAGAGTCCCACTCCCACTGGATCAGAGATGGGGGTTTCATTACTGGAGTCCCCTGATCTGGACTGGGAGGGTGAGAGGCTATTTAGGAGTCTGGCATCTCTCTTCAAGGAATCTAAGACCTAGTTCAGGACTTGTGGGGGAGACTGGTATCCTGGTAGGGTTCTTATCTTATCGTTCCTGTTTACCCCCGAACTTACCCCCGGGGCAGGCTGGATGAAGTCCTCCTCCTCCTTAGAGCCTCTGTCTCTCCTGGCTGGGTTCTTTCATGGTGAAGTCATAGCTTCTTGGGTGCTAGGGGACCCAACTGGCCTGCCCAACTCAGTGCCCTGTGCCCTAGCAGAGGTAGGGTCAGCTGATTGGGAATGGGCTGGACAAAATAGCTTTTTTGCTGAGCCTGAAAGTGCTGCCTTCCATATAGAGCATCATTTGGATTTTGCCTTGTGCTTGCATGGCTGCTCTGCCATGCCTGAGAATGAGTAGAGGAGCTCAGCAGGAAGCCGCTAGAGTGGAGGCTTCGGGTGGCTGTAACCATCGTGCTTGAAGCAAACAAAACAAAATGCTTGAACTGCTCAAAAAAACTGCCAGAACAATAAAGGTGAAAGAAAAGGGATGGGAGTGAAGTGAACGGCCACTATCTGCTGCCACGGAGACGGAGGATCTGGTGGCAAGCGGGAGAAAGGGGCATGGCCAGCACAAGCCACGCCGCAGCTTCGAACTACGACTGGAACCTGCAGAGAGAGAAGAGCAGCCCATGTGTAGCAGAACTGTGGGAGACACTGGGCTCAGAGTGGCTGCAGTGTGTATGTACCAGAACCTCAAGATGTTCCAACGTATGCTGAGGGGCCATCCTTGCACACAGCACTCACAGGATTGGAGGAATGAAAAGGTGAGAGTTATGACATCCTTGCACCCCCTACCCCCTGAGAGACAAGGGGTGAGATTTCATGGATGATCTGACTCTTGAATGTTAATCATACAAAACATTTTTTTTTTTTGGTGAAATGTACTATACACATGATCAGTGTAACTGTACAGATGGATACACAAATCATATACAATTTCTCCTATGAGGAATGTCTTGCCCTGTTTTTCAAGTGTTAATAAATTTGGTTGAGCAGATAGATATTTTTCTGAGTTGTCCTCTCCACAGTCCTCAATTCCAATGAGTTTTATTCCAGTTGTGGCCAACATAGCTAGTGGGGATATATTGTTTATGAAGATATATTAAGAAATTAATTACATGGCTACATCTTTGGTCTGTGTTGTAGAAGAACTTTATACCCCACAGAGTATACCAGTACCTGGCAAGAGCAAACTGCTCCAACAATCTGTCCCCTTTTTCTTCAGTCTCTGTCATATCCAGGCTAAGGCTATCACTGCATTCAAATGCTGCTGGGAGTTCATTTGTAGACCCAGAAAGGTCATCTTCATGTACTGTTGTATCTTCCTCTTCATGTGCAGCTTCGCCCTGAGAAAGCAAACAACAGCAATAACGTTTTAGAGGAAACAGCAAATTTAAAATGTATCATTTTGGCTCATAAGCAGACAAGCTAATATGTAAAAATGTATATTTAACAACATTTGTTAAGCAACATAAATATAAAGTGAAAATGAAAAAAGACTAAAATTAAGTTACTTTTGATCAGAAATTGTACATATTTGTACAATCCATTCCCTTAATCAAGATGTTTTTAAAGAAACGTCATCAGCATGTCTTGCACCTATGTTTACATAGTGACTTTCATTCAGAAAGGCTCCAAAGCACTTTTAAAAAGTGTATATAGGGATTATGCGCCCACCATTTTGGAAATGCAACAGCCTCTTTTTGTACTTTGAAACCTCCTGTGTTCTTTTCCCATCTCTCAGAACCCAATCAGCTTCCTGGGTGATCCCTATCCCAGATCTAACCTCCTTATATTCCCCTGAGGCTTTTCTTTCCTGTCTCACTTTTAAACCTGAACAAAGTTAAGCTCAATCCCAGTTCTCTCTACTTTTTTGTTATTCTGTATCCTCAATGGGGTGCAAGTCAGTCTCTGTGGGAATGGATGACATCTTCAAATCACACCTTCTCTTGGGCACCTTTCAGATTAGAGGTGCCTCACAATGCATTATATAACTGTCTTGGGGGAAGCTGTGTAACATGGGATTTGAAGACAACAGTTGGCCCTTCATAGATTACCACACTTGCTCAGCCCTGCAACAGATTCCAGATATCATGAGGTGTGTGTGTGTATATATATAGAAGGAAGGATGGGAAAGTTGTTAGGCTCAGGTCAGCAAGAAAGCAAATTGCTGTTGAAGAAAGAAATGAAGGTTATCTGGTTAGAGTGCAGGAATAGGAGATAGTGGGGGTGGGGGGTCAGATACTGCACAATTAGAAGTACTATATTCACGTTATGCCTTCCTTTGTTTTAGGGTTAGCAACTGCATTAGCCACTTTGAAATATGGGAGATCAGATACATGGACCATCGGTTTGTTTTGGTTATGGCAATGTCAGTGTTCTTATCAGAAGAGATAACTCTAGCTGAGTTAGGAGGAAGAAAGGAACATGATATAAAGAAAAAGCTGGGATATAAAGGAGAAGTAACCATCAAAGGTTCAGTTATGTTGTAACATGCTTCCCGAATATGAGGGGTTTAGATATTCCAATGATAGGAGCCATGAAAATACCAGAGATAGATAGATCTGAATCTCTGAATATCTTTTAGGTTTTCCCATCAGTAGTCTCTAATTCCTTAATAATAATCTACTAATTGTTGCAATCTTTGCCCTTAGAGACATGATAAAGTCACTTAATTTCTTTCCAGGCTTAAAATGGTGCCATCTTGTTCTTATCTTTGGTACTTGCTTTATCTTCGGTGGTTGAAAAACTGACTATACATTGGCAGATACTTTTTGGCACAGGAATGCTTAAGAAGAACCTTGAAAAAGAGACATAGGTTTGGAAAGGTTTCCCTTTCCCCTACCTACTCTCATTGTTTGTTGCTGTCACTCCTTGCATTGTGTCTAAAACTGATGTAAGATTCCTGGGGAAGGGATCATGTCTTCTGTGGTTGCCTGTAAAGTGCCTTGTACAATTTTTGGCACTATATAAAAAGCAACAATTCCTCCTCTGCATTGCTAACCTGCTAGTACAGTAGTAAATATAGGAATAAAGAAACCAGGGAGGAGTGGAGCTTTGCTTTTACTAGACTAAGTAAAATTATTTAGCTGCAAGTTTCAAGTTTTTGTAATGAAAGACTGGATGAGATAAGCTTTTGAGTCACACACAGCTCTTTTCCAGACCTGAGGAAGAGCTCTGTGTGGCTCAAACGCTTGTCTCTCTCACCAACAGAAGTTGGTCCAATAAAAGATACTATCTCACTCACCTTGTCTGTGGAAAGGTCCCTATCAACTTGGGTTATGCATTTCATAAATGTTAAACCTGTTGTGGGACTAACCAAATCTGTGTATCAGTTTTACAAACAGCTCACCGTGTGTTTTCATTCTCTACTCCTTTACAGATTGCAAGCATTCAACTTTGTACCAAACATGTCAATATGAGGACAGGGACATTACGTGAATTTTCATGATACTGTTTTTTAAATTAGGCATATATGTAGCATATAACATTCATGAATAGTGATCTATGACTTTAATTTACAGATGAATAACTATTAAAAGGACTCTAAAACATTGGTATCAAGCGGGCAGTAGTTGTAGCCTACAACAGAATCTTTTTGACTAGAGCTACTTGAAATAAAATGTTATCAACCCCTGCCCACTCAATAACACTCTCATTTATTTTCTTTCCTTGCCTCATTCTCTTATTTTCTTGTTATGTGAAAAGTACCCAACTCAGCCACAACAGCCTGACTGGTAACCCTATTGTGTCATAAGGATACACATAATATCAGATTACTCTAATATTTTTGTTGTATCACCTGTTCTTTCTTTTCTTTTGTATTGTGGGAGGGAGGGAAGGAAGGGTAAGGTTCAGCTGATATACTGTAATGGAAGTATTACCAAAAAGAAAGAGAACTAACCATCCCCCACCACACACACACATTGATAATCTTTTACCAACCTTTCATAATGACAGAATTGTGTCTGCAGGAATGGTTCACTTCAGACAGCTGTATGGAACAGTGTTTTGCAAATCTTATATAATACTGCAATTAGGCATTTAACATTCTGACAGTATGCCAAAAGGCAAGAATTGAATCCAGTGCACACAACTGCACAATAGGTTCCCACATACAAAAAAATCTCACAAATACATGCATACACCCACACCCAGTTAGCATATTATCCTATACAAATCAGCATGAAGAACATTAGGAGTATTTCTAAAGCATTTGCAACTTCAGAGACTCATATGTATCTTGCCATTAGTTAGTGGCATTCATACTATGTAAAATGCAAAATACTTAATTTAAAAAGACCAAAATAGAAAGAGACAAATGTTAAAAAAGAACTGTATGGGTCACACAAGAGTGTGTGAAAATATACCTATATATATATATATATATATATATATATATATAAATAAAAAAACACACACACACAAACACTCTATACTACTAGGGGAAGAGAAAACATACTTGCCCCTGCATTCAAACCCCTCATGACATTTTAAAAATAAGCTATTTTTTAAAAAAAAGTTCATTTAAGGAGAAGTATAATCAGAAAGTTCTCAAAACTTCTTCACCTTAGAACCCTCAGACACCTGGTGATTACTCATGTCAGGCAAAGACACTTCAAAGCTAGATGTTCTTGTATTAAAATGATGTGGGGCAGCTGCGGTGGTATCACATGATGTAGAAAGAGAGTCCATGTGAATTGTATCCTCAGAGGGGGAAAGAGTCATGATCTGTTAAAAAGAATAATAAAAAATAATAATAATTAATAAAAGAACCAGTTATGAAGCTCCTCTATCACATGCCCTTTTATTATACTGAGGTCACAGCCCTGCCACAGTTAAGGTTAAGACCAGGTTTCTGGTTAAAGCTTGACTCTAAGTGCTCTAAAATCTACATGGTTACTCAGAATGCAAACTGAAATTTGATGTGCCTCATGGGAGCATGGGGTTTTGTTAATGGACCAAACTTGGGACCATTTGCCCAAAGGATTTCAGGATACAGTCTCTGGAAAAAAACAGCTTTTCTAAGAGTTGAGAGATTCTGGTAACCTTTTTTTGCTCACAGACAGATCAAACCAAGGCTCAGATCATCCCACTAAGATGTCCAACACCCAAGGGTTATCCCAACAGAGTGCCTGGCATCTGGGGGTGAACTCAAATTAAAAGGTTATTTCAAAAAGATTTTTTATCTCCTGTTTAGAGCATTGCAAGCCTTGCACACCGATATGCTAAAGAAATTACACTGAGCATATGGGGAAAGAGGATTTAACAGGATTATTAACCTTTAAAGTTCCTGGGCAGTTCACGGGGCTAAGCAATAGTCCTTGGACTCTAAGCAGCTGGCCAGTGACAGATCAAGTCCCACTTTAGGCAGAAATTTGGAAAAGCATGGATGGGTGCTGTCATATTTTTCTTTTTGAGGGGAACATAATTCATATGTTTTGTATTCATCTTCATATGTATTCGTATTTTCATAAAAAGGAGATATGTGAATGTTTGCTTGCATTTCATGGGGTAGAGGAATGGGGAGGAAAAAGGAGTGAGGGGGTTAGGACTGCATTGAGGGGAGTAGGATAAATGGGGATGGGTAGTAAGGGGGAAGAAGGGTTGGGGGGCTCAGGTGAGGGAGAGAGACACACTGGGGTGAGTGGCAGGAGGGCTGGGGGAAAATAGGGGCAGAGGTGTCTGTCCACCCCACATTCTCCCCTTCTGTTTATGAGCCAGGCTCTGGGGTGTCTGAGTCCCTCTTCCTCTCCTTCCCCTCCCCATGTGATCTGCAATCTGGAGAAGACCTGCCACTCTGGGTGGGGCGTTTAGAATAGGCATCCTTGGAGCTTGCATTAGGGACACAGTGCTGAGGCCGGTGTGAGGAGCTCAGGACTCCTATGCTTGATGACACATATCAGAAATGCTCCAACCCTTGGGAAGAAGGAAGGAAATGCTCACTGACAGGAATGGAGCAGTTCACAGGTCTCAGAACTATTGTTTCAGGCTGTATGCCTATCCCTGGGGTATTCTCTTTCAGATGAGAACGTCTCCTTGAGATGAATGGGCCACTTCACACCTCTCTGAGCCTCTGACTTTGAACTTCGAAAGGGAGCGGCAGGGCGATTAGGGGTGTAAGAGTAGGTGGGAAGAGGGCAGAGTGGTTTTGGTCAGGGAGGGATATTAAGCATAAGGTATAAATGGGAATTGGTGGCAGGGGAGAGAAGAGAGGTTGGGGGGCTCAGGTAAGAGGGAGGGGTGAAGATTAGGGGATGTGGGAGGGGAGAAGATGGGAAGGGTTGGAGAACATGAGGGGTAGCAGAGGAAATTGGCTTAATTAGATGGGAACAGGAGAGGGGATCTGGAAATGTTGCAGGAATGGTGGGGCAGGGGTTGAGAAGGAGAGACAGTATTCTCTTAGGGCTTGTCTACACCCAGCCGCTAGTTCGGCGGCTGGGGATCGAAGTTCCGAGTTCGATTTATCGCGTCTGGTCTGGACGCGATAAATCGAACCAGGAAGTGATCCCCGTCGACTGCGGTACTCCAGCTCAACGAGAGGAGTACCGCGGAGTCGACGGGGAGCCTGACTGCCGCGTGTGGACCGCGTCTGAACCGCGGTAAGTTCGAAGTAAGGTATGTCGAATTCAGCTACGTTATTCACGTAGCTGAATTTGCGTACCTTACTTCGACTTGGGGGGTAAGTGTAGACCAAGCCTTAGATGCTTAAAGTTACTGTAACAACCATATAATAAAACTCTCAAGGTTTTGGGACAGAGACCATAGATGAGATTTGTCTCACTGGCCCTGTTAGCAGCTACACATTTCAAAGCACGACCATTATCCCCACTCCACTATAACAAAATATATGTGGGGGGGGGAGGTGAGGGGAGGAACACAGAGGAATCACATAGCAACTGCATGGCCTAGTGGAAAGACCTCTAGGCTGGGACTATTCCTGGCTCTGCCACTGGCCTGCTAGGTGACCTTGGGCAAGTCACTTCATCACCCTGTGCCTCAGTTTCCTATCTATAAAATGGGGACAATGCTGTAAAGTTCTTTCAGATCTACTGATGAAAAGCCCTATACAGAAGCAAGGTTTTTTGATTATTACTTAGCCAGAGTAGCCTTTCAGCTGCAAACCTAGGTGAGAACTACAACTGTCTAAATGACCACTAATCTACCAACAAACATTTCTCTTTCTGTTTAAAAAACTAGGAAATGAAATGGCAAAAAACTGTTAACACAGAGGCTTGGTCTACACTGAAAACTTACATCAGCATAGCTACATCTCTCAGGGGTATGAAAAATCCATACCCTTTAGCAATGTAATTAAGCTGACCTAACTCCTGGAGTATACAGCGTTAGGTTGATGGAAGAGTTCTTCTGTTGATCTAGCTACTGCTTCTTGGGGAGGTGTATTAACTATAGCAATGGAAGTACCCTGTCATGACCCAAGTTCATGGGAGCAGTCATACTCCAACCCTCCACCTGGCAGCCTGCTGACAACTGCTTCCCTAGGATCCAGGAAGCCCAGCCCCAGTTTGAGGTTCCGTCCCTGAGGGTCTATTGGTGGAGTCCCAGAGCCTGCTGATTAGCCCGCTGACCCTACTTAAAGCAGGAATAGAAAGCTGTCTGAACAACTGGGTCCACCCTGCCCTGGACTATGTGTCTTGTGCTTCTTGCTCCTGCTCCCCCGGCTTGATTTCCAGGTATCCTGACCTCGCTTGACTCCTAGCATCTAATTCATGGTTCTGATCTCCAGTTTGTCTCCTTCTGATCTCCTTATATCCTGAACCGGCTGACTCTTGTCTCATGAATGTGGACTCTGGCACTGATCACTAGTCTGGCAGCCCACGACCTGGCTGTGACAAACCTCTTCCATTGCTGCAGTGAGTGTCTACACTGAAGTGCTACAGTGATACAGCTGCAGTGTTGTAGTTGTGCCACTGTAGTGTTGAAATGTAGACATACCCAGAGTTAAGGCTGTTTCTGACAGCTTGTGCCCTTCCAAAACATTGAGTTAAGCAAAACTCATACTTCTGAAAACCAAGGAATACAGAGTTCAGGTAAACGCCAACACAACCGTAACTCTTCCTCTTTGAGCGATGCCCAATACACCCATAACGCACACATTCCCACGCTGTCTTTTCACTGTAATGGACAGGCACTAACTGCATTTGCCCTACATTTAAGCACTAAGCCTACTCCCCCAACGGAATATCACACTTGTAAAATTTAACAACTTCATATCCTTTTACAAAGCCTTTACACTTGCACACTTGATATCATCTCAACCTATCCCGTCCCCTATCATTAAATCCACAGACTGCTCTCAGATCCTACCTCACTACTGACAATTCCTATGTCAAGAAGATCCCCGTGCCCTGCTGCTGACACAACATACACAACTTTGTACTGAAATGATGCAGACTGGAACCTCAAGATACATGTGCACTTCTTTCCTTTGATAACACACATGGGTGGGGTGGGAGGACTCAGACCTAGATATCCTCATATCACAGTCAGAGATCTTCTAAGCTACTCCAACTTACTCTTCTACCATTCAATACAACTACATTTAACACAGTGAATGCAGATGGAATGCATGCAGATCATTCCCAGTGACTACTGCCAGCTCCGGGTCCGGAAGGGGCGGGGGAGTGGAGGGGGACGGACAGATGGACAGAGTTAAGGTTGTGTTGGTGTTTACATTCTCTCTGTATTTCCTGGTTTTCCAGAAGTTTGAGTTTTGCTGTACTTGACATTCTGGAAGGGCATGAGCTACACCAGGCAACTTTATCTCTGCATTAACAAAGTTTTTTGCCATTTAATATATGCATGCAATGCAAACACTGTGCTAATGCTACCTTCCCAATGCTGTTGATTAGCTTGTTTCAGCTTGTACACTTTTCATTTTATAATCTTTCAAATTTTTATTCATATTTAAACATCCCAAAGGTGAATTTTTCAAAATTGGATGCCTGCTACATTTTATAAACATAATACATCTGAAGGATTTAACATTGGTCATTTAAGCAAAACTAATAGCTTTGCTGAATAAAGTGCTACTTATCAGATCTGACACTTCCTGTGTTTAGTACTTTCATCAAAATTCTTTTCCATCTTCAGTTAAAGGACAAGCGAGCCATTAGAAAGCACTCAGTTACATGACATTTGGCATCCCAGTTGATCAGTTTGCATTTAAGCAACAGGAAATTAAAAGATCAGTTTATTTTAAAAAATCTATCTATTCTTAACAAACTGTAAATTAACTACTTACTAGGTCTGAATGTTCCAATATTTGGCTTGTTGTTAGGTCCTCCTCCTCTGATGACTCATCGGAGTCCTCATGGTTCATTTTATTTAGGCTGGGTGTACTTCCTGAAAGCTGGCTTTCCTCCAGAAGCTGCATATCGCATTTGTCCAGACTATCTAAGGAACGTCTGCGCACTCCCCAGTTGAAATTGTCCATACTCTCACCCTGAAAACACACGCAGGCTCAACTTGCTCCTATACTATTATATAAAATTACTTTCAAAATTACTAATAATTTGTTCTAATCTAGCAGAAGAATGTTTTTGATATAAAAATATAGTACAGATCTTATATGAACACAATTTTTTTAAGCAATAAAGTAACCAGAAGCTACTGAAACTTTCTAAGACTCCATCTGGAAATAAGAGCAATAAAGATGGAAATAAAAGTTAAATGAATATTCATTATTTTGAATACTAAGTGTTTTTCATGCTTTACTGCTTTAAAAATTTGCTTTATATGCATATCTATCTCAATGTCAATGAAACAGTGACAGGTTAAATAAAAATCTTAAAGCCACTTGAAAAGATTTCCGCCCCCCATAATGTTACTGTAAAACATTAGGATCAATCAACAGGACATGTTCATGGTAATATTTCAATAGCAAATCAGATGTTAAATATTTTAGATTCTCTGTACTACATACATAACCACAATAATGAAATGCAAAGTTAAGGCAGATTTGAATGCAGCTCTAATTTTGCATGCACAATGCAATGGCTAAAGCAGCACAGCTTTTTAACTTTTATTCTAGGCTTATGATTGATTTTTCTTTATAAACTGGACATTTTTTTCCCCAGAAGTAAGCTGACTAGTATGGACCAACATTTCAGTTTTTAAAAGGGACACAGTCAACTTAAAAATCAAATTTGTAGCTGAATATTTTCTTCCTATTTAAGGTTCTGAGTCTATGCACACTTATGCAAATATGAGTTAAAGCACAATGGGTAAGTATATGCAGGATCAAAACAATAGTGGCAAACACTATCTAAGATTGTTATAAATGAATAAAGTTACTGAAAAAAATATTTCCCACTATTTTTTCCCATTTGTTTACTTTGTGCATTTGACAGTACTTTGTATGTCGTCAGTTTCACTAATTCCCTTCTATGGGCAAGTTAAGGCCAAGTCCTTGCAGATATTTAAGCATATGCATAATTTTACTCATGTGAGTAGGCCCACTGAGGTTAAAGGGGCTCTGCACAAGGCCAAGCGTTTTCCAATTTGGATCCAATTGCAGGTTTGGGGTCTTAATCATTTTCCCTCTTGCTAAAAAGACCCTTATAAAGACATCAACATAAGAAAAAAAGCTATGATAGGAAAAAGGATTAAAGGGAGGGGAAAAGTAAGTACAAAACCTACTTTTAAAATGGTGCTCTACAAGAAACCAGAATTGTAAAAAATGAATCCGCTTCAAGTTAACAATTATCCTTTAAATATGAAATAATTATATATATATATATTTTACATTTGGCAAAAAAATCTTTGTCTTAAAATCATAAATGGGAAGAAAAATTATATATTACACATGAAGTATATTATATTTTTATAGAGTCCCACACCCATATAGAATACATTCCTGAGTAATATAATAAATTTTCATAGGTGAAAAAGGCCCAGTTCAGCATGCACCTAACTTTGGGCATATGAGGAATGCCATTGATTTTCACCGGACTTCTCACATAATTAAAGTTAGACATTTGCTTAATACCTTGCTAAATCAGGGCAAAAGGCATAAGCAGTAATGAATTAAGTATAAGTTTATTTTAAAATAAGTCACTGAATTTGTGCAAAGATATATAAGCATTTTGAATCACTGCCTTTTAGTGCAAAGAACACTGTTATACAGATATTCAGAGAAAAAGCTCTGGATAACAATGATAAGCTAACCTCTCATGAACAAAGATGGAGTAAAACTTAAAATAAATGCAGAAAAGAGAAAATACCTCTAGAAATATATGCTAGTCTAGCTCAGCCCACTGAAACATTTGGTAGACTTAAGGGATATACTACAATCAACAGCAAAATGACAATGAATCCATTATGAAGCCAGACATAGCAGAATATTGTGCCTTTCATATTATGGAAGTGGGAGCACATAATAGGGTGGTCGTTGGAAAAGAACAGAAATTATGTCCAACATTTAAGGAAACTTGTCTCCTTGAATTGTAAAAAATATTTTATAATTTAAAACTCTTTATTTGTGTTAAAAATTATTTTTTCTCCCAACATGAAGGCTACAGGACAACTGCACCAGTTGCTCTTCCTCCACAAGGTATCCGGTAACAAGAACTAGACTAATGTCATGCCCTTGTCTTTATGATGCCAACTTCCACTGAAATATCCAGCAGTTTTACTTTGCAGCTGGTGCCACAGAAACGAGGCACTAATTTATTTCCGCTGCTGCTCCTCTTTGGAATCTCTCAAAGAAGAAAAGATGAAAAGAAGAAAAGAAAAACAAAATGGATGAGAGATAAAAAGGGCAACATACAGTAAATGTAATCAGGAAAAACAGGGGGAGAGAAAGTGGGACAAATAAAAGAAAGGAAAATAAATTATGAAGATGAAGACACTAAAAATGAGGAGAGAATACAAGAGAAGAGGCTTGCAGGAGACGTGACATACACATCAAAAATATTTGGGGCCTGATCTTTCCAGTGGTACATACAGATTTCACACTGAATTCAATGACAGACTGGAGCGTGTAGACAGATTACTATTTTTGCACCACAAAATAATTTTGTTATCACAATTAACGAGGAGGAAAGATGGCCTTGAGCGGCTATTAACTTCTCTTTTGCTGCACGTAGAGATTATCGTCTACTTTCCGTAAAGCTACTTGTTACAAACACAGATCAGTTCATGTGATCATTGTGTCGCCTGAACAATGGCCAGATACGACAGCGTACTCTATCACTTAGCATCTTATGGTGTGGGTGGGTAGGGGCTGAACACACTGTGTGTCCATCCTAAACACTACCACAACCCAGACTGAAACTGGGACCTCTGCGGTTAGGGAAAAAAAATAAAATAAAAGCAGTTCTACCAGGCAGACTAGAATATATCCTGAATCAAGCCAGAAGGAATTGTGCTAAGCTTGTTTCAGACAAGAGCTTCCCTGGCAGTGTTGGCAAAACATGTTTCCATTAACTTTGCACACAAATAGGAATGTATATAGATACAGTGTTGTCCATGTAGATTAGTAGTCCATGTTTTAGTCATTTAAGATTAACACAGTATTTCCATATGCTTATGTTTTTCCATATGCTTGTGTCTGTTTCCCAAATGGTGGGGAAGGTTCTAGGAGGGTTGTAGTCCTAGTGTAAAGGGGAGAAGCTAGGAGGCATAAGGGGTTTGGAGAGCGAGCCTGCGCCATACTCATTCTGTAGTGGTGGCTTGACCCAGCTCTTGCTCTGGATGTTGTGACCTGGCATGATAGGGGTGCAGCCAGGTCAAACCAGAGAGATGCTGTGATCCCATGCATTAGGTCACAACACCCAAAATGGGGAGCCAGGCCCAATCCTGTGAGACAGGAACCGCCGCTGTAGGATGAATGAGGCTCTCTCGCTCTCCAAATAATATTTTCTATGATCTCTTAATAGCTTTCAGTGTCATTTCAATTTTCTACAGAAAGTTAAAGGTTTAAAACTTAGGCCCCAACTCCGCAAACCACATATGCACATCCTTAACTTTACTCACATTGGTCCCATTGACTTCAATGGAACTACTTGTGAGTAAATGTAAGCACATATATGTTTTCAGGATCAGAGCCATAAATAGTCAGCAAAACTCTGGAAAACTGTGGACTACTGAAAACTTTTCTATAAAGAGGTCACATGTACCAGTTTTCACAGCATGCTAAGAAGAACCAATGTACCTATTAATTTCAACATGGAAGTTAGGAGTCAGTCATCAGCAGTTTAATGCTACAAAGGCAAAAAACTTTTCTACATTTTAACAATATAAATGTGACAGATTAACTAAACATATTTCCCGTTTTTAGTGTCTATGTACTACTTGTGTGCACAGTTATTGAAAAAGAAAAAGAGTCCAACTTTGCAACTCAAATTAGAAATGAGGGGATTTCATCTAGAATCCCCATTTTTAAAATCACATATTCTTTGATAATGCAAAGCCACACGTATTTGAAGTTAAGCTCCAAATAGCTGAATTACTTTAAACTCAATTTTTCTAGAGCTCTAAAAATATTTGTAGGGCAAAGCAGCATGTGAAACACCACTTACATACACACACACACACACTCACAAACTGAAAGAGAAAAAAAACCTATGATGTTATTCTATAATACAAATTTGCAACAATACACACCGTCTACTTGCACATCTGAATTCAAATAGCATTATCTTACCTGAAGTTCCTGGATAGCAGATATAATAGATAGAAAAACAAATAAAAATCTATTTAAAATTACTGTATTAAAGATACCATATACTTAAACATTTGCCCTACAGTAATAAATATCGCGATCAGAAAAACTTTAGCTCTGTAATGCTACCGTTAAGTAAAAAATAAAAATAAAATACTATGTTATTGGTTTTTAAATGTTTATTAAATACCAAACAATCATATCTTGTGATCTGTGCATAATGCACCCAGCACTGACTTGTTTATAATATAATCTTTCCAAAATAGCTGTCTCCATTTGTGCTAGTCTGAGCTTTCCAACACAGTTTTATTCATGTTTATGAACACCAAATTTAAACTAGGTGTAAGTGGGTAAAGTTCCAATGAAGTCACTATAGTTCTCACCTCTTATGCACGGCCTGAATTTGGTCCTTTATTTGTATTTCTTTAAAACACTGAATTGCATAATGATGTGAGGCTTCAATTACAGGAAATATATTATTGGGTTGCCTAATAATGTTGCTATAGTTAAAAATAAATATACATTTCCCATTATACTTCCCTCTTTTCAGGCGTTCAAAGTTGAAAGTAATAACTCCAGTCTTGCTTAAATCTTGGTATGCAAGTTTCAGATGTGGAGCAGTTTATCAAATAGTGAAGGGTTTTTTTAATCTGTATTTTTAGTTTTACTTTATGTAAAAATAGAGATGTTGGATACTTGATCCACAAGTACCATAAGACTGTTTTTTTTTCTTTAAGGTTTAGGAGCAAGCTTTGTCATTAGCAGTTCAATACTGGGATGGTCAAAACATATGGAAAACCACAGTAGAATCCTTTCCAGGATGAACTAAACACACTATTAAGTTTTTCCTCCTCTTGTATCTGACTTTGTAATTGCTACATGTTTGGTATGGTCACTGGTTCAAAGGATGTGATTCCAGGGATGATATGGCCATTACTCAATAACATGGACTAATCTCTTGTAGAGAGTTGGGAATGTTTATATTATTATTAATTATTATTTATTATTATTATTATTATGAACTGTAAAATGTTTGCCAACATTTAACAATGCACAATCTGTTGAGTTTATGATACGTCCATTCCCCTCACCCTTCTATCGTATATTGACTAATTTAGGCCTCAATACTAAAATTAGGCACATACTTAAATCTTTGCAGGATCAGGGATTAAGACTATAAACTCTTTGGGGCAGGGATTTCACAGCACCTAGCACAATGAGGTGCCAACCTGGTTCTGGATCTGTAAGCATTACTTTAGCAGTGCTACTAATAGCAATAATAACAATTTTCTAATTGGTTTGTCTATATTTTAATCTTTGCTCTCTGGCTGAATATTGAAGTTTTTTTCTCCATCTGATTTTAACTGCTGAACGGAAAGAAGCAGCAATTCTCAAATCTCAGTCTGTGGTTGGAATCCTGCTTTCATGATTCTGACACCAATTTATCATCTGATAATTGATCGAATTATAATAAAATTATCATTGCATTGTAATATTTTGAATACATTTTTAAAAATGTGTTGTAATGACTGCAGACAGTTTTTTTTTAACAAAGTTATTTGGCATAAATATTTTGTCTTTTATCATTATCTAACAGTTTTTGAACTCTATTATAACAACCACAGATTAAAATTATTCTTATAAATCTAGTCAGAACTCATTTAAAATTTTTCCTACAAGCTATTCAGTTTAACCATGAATGCACCTAGCAGATGATTTTGCTTTCCCACCCAATGGGAACTAAATTAATGTTTGTCTCTTTCCGTCTTCCAGAGATCAGCATGGATGGATTGTTAAATTCTTGACTAATGACGCTAGGGCTTCATTTCAGATAGTTCAAGAAAGAGCTGCTTTTATTTGTCAGATATCTACATCCAGTGAGACATTTAGTGCTTTCCTCCAAGAGGTCAAAGAGGGAAGTGCCATATCATACGGGTGCCTCTTTCCCCTATCATTCTACCTAATGAGGTCTGAAATTGAAATAACCGCATTTTAGAGCAAATGGTTATGTAGGAAAATGCCTGTCATGAATGACAACAGTAAGGGTGAGTGAAGCCTGGCAGGGAGAGTGAAACTATAATTTCAAGAACTGAGATGTAAAATGCTATTGGAAAAGATGTCTTCTGCACGGACAGCAGTAGAGATAATGGCAGAATTGGCTGGGGTCCTGGAATTTTTATTTTAAAAAGCTGTAAGTGAATTTTGTGCTTATGAAAGTGAGGGCTAACAGTATTGGCTTAAGAACCATATTACAGGCTGGCATTGTGAAAGCTTCATACTACTCTGCCAATGCACCTCAATCCTTGCATGCCACCACTTTTGCATTTCCAGTTATGGATCACTTTTGAGCAGAGGCTGCCAATCACATTAAATTGTGTGTGTGTGTGTGTGGGGGGGGGGGGGTTGTGTGGGGGTGCAGTGCCATTTAGGTTTGGCCTGGCCATCCCTGAGAGGTACTGTGACCCCATGCAGCAGGTTGCAACATTCAGAATGGGGAGACAGGCTCAGCCCTGTGGGACAGGAAATACCACTGGTGGGATGAGTGATGGGTGCGTTCATTCTCCAACCACCCCTGGGGCCTCCTCTACTTATCTGGCCAGGGAAAGTGTATGTTTCCCTGGTTTTGCACCCTTGGTTTCATGATTTCTGTGAGTCCAATTGAACACAAGAATCCACACTAAAGCTCCATCTGCTCCATCCCTTCATTCTCTCTTCTATCTCTTGATTAAAAAAAATAATCACAGGCATTATGACACCTGAGTTCACAATGGAGAAGGATGACTGCTTCTTGTAATACAGCTTGAAATGTGCCAGCAAGGTGCTTGTGAGCTCTGCTGCACACACTTTAGTCTCGAGGCTATAAATGTTGAATCTGGATCTCCACAGCGGTAGCAAGATGTGCTACCAGCTGAACTGTCAGGCTGGCCAAAGATCTGCATTTTAAATACTTGGAAATAGTTGACCAATAGTTTCTGAATTTTTAAATGGTAGCAACATTGTTAGACATGTACAACATTGGGTATGAATTTCTTGTCCCTTCCCATTCAAATGGAAAGGATTATTCCCAGTTGGAACAGGTTTGCTCAAGGGTTAAATGGTTTAAAAAAACTAAAACAAAATAAAGAATAGAACAACCTTATCCCTCAACTGTATGATGTATATTTGATTGAAGTTCCCCTGAAGCATTTGTAATTAAAGGTGAACTGACAGGCTTTACCTGCCAAGTCCTGATCTCAAGCCTCAGGGCTCTGTTTTGCTCTTGCAAGAGCCATGAAATCATTGACACTCAAGGCAGAGCAGAAACTGCATCCTTTTAAGTGCTCAAATGTTAGTGATTTCATCAACTGTTGCAGGAGTAATAGAACCCTGAGGGCTTGAATTCAGGTTTTGGCAGGTTATTGATGAAAGAACTGATTTTAAACTTTTTTGTTTTATAATGTAAATTCTTAAAAGCTGCAGATATATTTTGTTAACAATTTGGGATCTTCAACAACTTGTGTTTCAAAGCTTTTAATTTCACCTTAAAGTTACAGAAACCTGATATTTGTGTTGTCATTAGAACTGCAGCTTTGCCTTTCAGTAGTAATTGCAGTGTGCATTAAAGTGGGTTCAGACAGGAAGGTGTGGTAGCTTGCCAATGTTAAGCTACTGTCACAACACTGTGAACATTATAAATACGTTTATTGAAAATCAAATCTAGAATCATACAGTTATATTTTTATGTTATAAAGAGTGAATTACTTAGTAATAAGAAGTGTTAAATTGTGTTTTAGCCAGAGATAAAACTTAAGCAAAGCCATTTCATAGAGAATATACTGTACCTCCCCATCTTCCAGTTCAACATCTAGGAAATCGAAGTCCCTAAAGACTCTGAACTGTTGTTCACTGTTTGAATCGTCCATGTTCTCTTGTTCCCTCGTTCCGTCTTCTGAAGACACCAAGCTTGTCTGGTGCTCAATCAGATCCAAATCACCACATGAAGAAAAAATTACCTACAATTCAAAAGATTTCTCTTTTGAGAAACTTTCCCCTCTGGTTGCTTGTTAGTAAAAGCTGAATTGGTTATTCAGAAGACTGTATTTCCAGTACACACCTAATTCCTTTAGCTGGTATTTTTAGAACACGCTCTTTTATTATTTATGTTGGACAGGTGCCTTGAGATTAAATCTTGTACAAAGACACAACTTCATGCTGCAGGAACATGTCCAAGAATGTAATAGCTACCTCCTAATGGCTGCAGACTGATGTTGCCTAAATGTTTATATACATTTATGGGAATGAAATTCAAAGAGCCCATTGCAGAAAGGATTGTCAAGGGGATGAGTTAATACTTTCACCAGAAAACCTCTAGTTAAACATGCTTAAGCATGTGGAGAGATTAGGAAACCTAACACAGACTAATTTGTGCAGCGGTAGCTTTTCCTTTCCTACTGAACAATGTCTGCAGTTTAGATGAGAACAATTCATTCTGTGGGTTCCTGTTTTGTTCAAACTGAGAACACATCCACAACATAATAGCAAGAGTGACATAGTAATAATGTATCACGAAGTACTCAAGATTTATATAGTGCTTTTAAAATGTTTAAGCATTATTTTAAAGAAAATAAATACAAATCTTTACCTTTGAAATTTAAAAAATCCCTCGATCAACCAACAAAATTGGAATAGTCCACTATACATTCCACTGCATGAGACAATACTCATTTCCATAAAGAGTAATGTTAGAATCATTATCTCATGGGATGATAAGGGTGCTAATCTTCATTGCTTTTTCTGTAATTGAATTTAGGCCTTCTGAAAGGAGCTAGATTGACAGTACTGGAGACCAAAATGATCTATCCATAGAACACGTAAAGCTTGGACAGTGATAGTGCCAGCATCCCAACAACGCTCCACCGAACTGCTCCATAACCTGTTCTGGAAGAACAGCTTCTAAAAGTGAGAGGGCTGTTTACGCTTCATGCTCAATCACTGTCCTTTGTGCTGAGAAATGCAACATGTGCCAGATTGTGCTAACTACAATGATGGTTTTGTGACATGGAATAAATTAAAACACCTCTGAAATTCAGTGAGAGAAAGTTCTTGATATTTAAAATTAAAGATACAAAAACAACAAAAGACGAAACAGTCAATGAAGCAAGACTCACTGAAGGGTTTTTGCTCAGCCCCACATCTTGACCACACAGGGTAAGGACGTGTACCAGCTTTTCCTTTGTCCTTTTCTAGAAAAAACATTTTTAATTTTAGCATCATTCTTTATTCATTCTGTTGGAAACTAGAGGGATATGTTTTTAGGAAAAACTATGATCAGAGACTCACTGGTTTGATGTTAAAGGAATTATTTTAGAGCAACTACACATACAGGGAAATAGATAAAAGCAGCAGGTAATATTTTTTCAGTACTTAAAAAAATTTAAAAAATGGTCTATTTATTTCATTAGGCCCTAAACTAGTAAAGCACTAAAACACATGTATAACTTCACTGAGACTACTCAAGATCTTGAAATTAAGCACATGTATAAGTTTTTGAATCATCCCAAATCTCCAATATGCTTAACAGTAGCAATAAATAAATAAATATATTTTGCATGTTTTTTCTTTAGCTGGCAGCTAACAAAATCCAATAGTGCAAAACAAGGTCACATTCAGGAGCAATGCTGCAGGCATATTTTAATGAATAGGGGGCTCCATTACAGGAACTTAGTGGGAATTCTACCTGAGAATACTGAGGCCTTTTCCAGCTCACAGGAACGAGGACATTGGAATTAGAACCTGAGGAGGTTGAGGAAGTGCTTCGAGTGACAGCCATTGCCCGGGGTTTACCATCTCGGCCAGCAGAACTCTGTAGCTCATCATATCGTCTCCCAATAATTGGAGTCTGAAATAACACAGAGCTGCATTATGTAGAATAATGTTAATGACCTGTTAGCTCACTTGCAGATGAATGTCATTCTGAAGACAGGTATGCCCAAAATTTTACCTATTTTTTGTTTTTCTGTTTATAAGCCCCATATAAATCTTTACATTTATTTTTTCCACCATATATTCTTCACAGTGCCTCTGCCCCCAACAATGCCAGCACCTCAGCATTCAGGAGCAACTTACAGTAATATATGAGTTTACTGAACCGGCAATGGATAAAAGCAAATTTTGTTAAATAAACTTATTTTAACACAGGCTGTTGTTACAGGGGTTTTTCTGCAGGGTGCTGAGCACTCTGGCTCTGATCCAGCAGACCACTTACGCACATACTGAAATGTTTTGCTGGATCAGTCCAGAGTGCTCAGAGAGCCCAGGACAATAAGAGCGAGAAAACATTTATGGAAAAATACTAAAAGTATATCCTTTCGTGGTAGTGTTTCCTTTATAAACCCTGTTTCTCAGTAGCTGTTGTAAGAATAAGTCTCCAATCCTGCATACACACATGTGATTAACTTTAATCAGGTGAATAGTCCCATAAAGTTAAGTATGTATGTAAGTGTTTGCATGGTCAAAATATCTCCTGTCAAAAGACTCCAGTCTGAAACTAGATAATACGGTTTTACTCAGGTAACATATTTTTGTACATTTTTAAAAAGAAGAGTTTATTATAATTTGTATTTAAATTAATCAAGTCAACAGCTATGTTATAAAGATGCGAAATGTAACACACACGCACACATGCCCTATATATATTTGTTTTTTCCCCCACAGGTGGTGGTGGTTGTTTTTTTTTTTTTTATTTTTTTAGAGTTTTTCCCTTGGAATCCCAGGTTCTTAAAAAATAAGTTGAAACCAAAACCAAAAAGAGAGGTTGCTCACCCTGTGCAGTAACTCTAGTTCTTCAAGATAGTGTGTCCCTAGGGGTGCTCCACTTCAGGTGTGTGTGCAGCCCATGCGCCTTCGATGGGAGATTTTCATTAGCAGTGTCTGTTCAGCCCGCGCATTTGCTGTTGATATCCTTGTGCCCTGCACTGACACTATATCAGGCTGCGCAGGCAAACCACCCTTAATTCCTTCTCCACTGCCAAGTCTCAGATGGAAACTCCAATGCAGAGGGGAAAGAGGGCTGGTAGTGGAGCACCTATAGGGGGACACACCCTGAAGAACTAGAGTTACTGTACAGGGTGAGTAACTTCTCTTTCTTCTTCAAGTAGTGTCCCTAGGGGTGCTCCACTTCAGGTGACTCCCAAGCTGTATCCCATCAGGGAGTTTCAGAGTCAAGTCCATTACCGAGGAAAGAACTGCATTGCCAATTGCTGCTTCAGATCTGGAGGCACTGACTAAAGCATAGTGTCTGGAGAAGAAATGTACCAAAGACTGTGTAGTAGCTCTACAGATCTCAGCAAATGGGACATTTTAAATTAGAGCCATAGATGTAGATTCTGACCTTGTTGAGTGAGCTGACATGCCAGCCGGGAGGCGGGGGGTGGGGAGGGAAGTGCTGGTAACAAGCTATAACACACTCCAAAATCCATTTTGATAGCCTTTGGGTATAAATTGCAGATCCTTTTGATCTGTCTGCAAATGAAATGTACAGGCTAGGGGATTTAAGGAATTATTTAGTCCTATGTAAATAACGCCCTTCTGACATCTAGAATATGGAGTACAGTCTCCACGTTGGACTTGTGTGGTTTCAGAAAGAAAATTGTCAGGTAAGTGATCTGATTCAGATGAAATTCAGAAACCTGGGACGTGGACATAAGGAACCTTATCCTTGTAGAGAACTGTGAAAGGAGGTTCTGCCATTAAGGCCCCAATCTCTCCAACTCTGCAGGCTGAGGTAATAGCCACTAGGAAGACTGTTTTCATAGACAAATTCGATAAGGAGCAGGTCATTATCCATTCAAAGGAAGGCTTCCTGAGACTTTTAAGAACCCGGTTAAAGTCCCAAACAGGGGTAGGGCCTTTAACCAGTGGAAAGAAATTTCCCAGGCCTTTCATCAACCTTACGTTTTCAGGGTGAGAAAACATGGAGAACTTTTCAATAATGGTATGAAAAGCTGTTAGGACTGCCAGATGAATTTTGGGAGAACTAAGTGACAGCCTTATTTTCTTTAACTGCAAAAGGTATTCCACAACAAGCAGAAGCGGGCCACATTGCTGGTCAGTGTCCTGGAGTTCACACAAGTGACTAAATCGTCTCCACTTCTGAAGTATTTCTAGTAGAATCTTTCCTGCTGTTTAATAATATGTGCTGTACCTCTGCAGAACAGGATGACTCTAGCCCCACAAACCATCGAGGAGCCACGCCTTGAGGCGGAGAAGGCTGAGATTGGGATGCAGCAGTCAACTGGGAGAGGAGTGGAGGAGTGATTGGAAGATGTATTGGTGGACAGAGAGCTAGCTGGAGCAGGCAAGGAAACCACGCTTACCTCGACCACGTTGGGGCTATTAGAATGACTCTGATCCCATCCTGTATGATTTTGTTCACCGCTCTGAGGATCAAAAGCATCTGGGGAAAAGCATAAAACAGCTTTCCCATTCCCAGGGAGTAGGAAGGTGTTCCCAGGGAATAGTGACCTAACCCTCCTCTTGAACAAAATATGTGGCATTTTTTATTCACAGTTGTTGCAAAATGCGCCACTTCTGGTAATCCTCAAATCTGAAAAATGCTGACCAGGACCTGGGGATTCAGCTCCCATTTGTAGTCTTGGGGAAAATACCTGCTGAGAGCATCAGCCATGACATTTTGTTTGACCGGAAGATACATTGCGAGATTCCTATGTGATGTTTTATGCACCAGTTCCATAACCTTATCACTTCAGCACAGAGGGAAGGGGAATCTCGCTCCCCCATGCTGACTGATACAGAACACACAGGCCATGTTGTCCATCATGATCCTCATGGATCTGTGCCTGATGAGAGGCAGAAAATGAAGACACCAATTTCTGTTTGCTGTGAGCTCCAGCAGGTTGATATTGAGGGAGGTTTCCTGGGGTGATCATTTCCCCTGTACTGTGAGAGCATCCGTGGTTACCGTTGGTGTTGGCTGAAGAAAAGGAATGCCTGCCCCTACATTGCGATGAACCTTTCACCAGTCTAGGGAATGCTTTACCTACTTGGGAACTGACACCTGCTTGTCTAGGCTGTGTTTGTTTGGTGAGTAAACTGATGAGCCACGCCTTAGCACAGATGTTCCATGCCTGCTGATGGGGTAGGAGGGGCACAACCCTAGAACAGCTTGAGTCATGACCCCCAGGCAAGGAGCAGCTCCTCCATGCAGCTCCCAGCTGTTCCTTTGCTCCTGCCTCTCTCTGCCCGGCACAGTTCATCGGCTCAGCTGCTGCACAGGGAGGGGGCCCAGCCCACCATATGACCAAGCAATTGGGGGGGGGGGGGATGTGACCCCACATGCCCCCAACGTGTCACCTCTACTCCTAGAAATAGCAAAGATGTAACCTCGCATGTTCGGACACAAAGGTACAAGCTGCCACGTAATCGAGGAGTTGAAGAGAGTTTCTGACTCAAGTCTGAGGGCTCTTTTGAATAGTTCTGACAAGCTTTGATAATGTTACAAACTTGTCCATGGGAAGGAAGGCCTTGGCTACTAAAGAGCCAGGGATGGCCCTATAAATTGTATGTTCTGAATGGGAGTCAGGCCCAAATCTAAGAACAGGGAAAGTGTTTTTTCGGGGCAGATGACACCTTGTGGTATGATTGATCCTTGGAGCAGCCGGTCATTGAGGTATGGGAATACTGTGATCGTCTGATGACGCAAGTAGGCAACCACCAATAGACCCTTTGAAAACACTCTCGGAGCCGAGGAGAGGCCAAACAGGACCTGACACTGAAAATTATTCTGGCCTATGAAAAAAATGCAGGAACTTTTTGTGAGACAGGTGTACTGCTATATAGAAGTATGTGTCTTAAAGGTCAAGGGCTGAAAACTAATCCATTGACTTTAGAGAAAGAATTATAGCTGCCAGGGTCACCATCCTGAACTTCTGAGACTTTATGATTTTTTTTAGGAGTCTGAGATCCAAGATTGGTCTCCACCCTCTGTTTTTCTATGGTATGAGGAAATACCTCAGACAGAAAGCTCTCCCCCTGTGCTGAGCAGGGACTGGTTCTACTGCTCCTAACCAAAGAAGGGAATTTAATTCCTGTCTTAACAGGGAGTCATGAGAGGGGTCCCTATAGATGGATGAGGAAGGGGAACAAGGAGGTGGGAGGGCAGTAAAATGGATGGTATAGCCCGATGTTATCACTTCTGTCATGCTGTCTGGAGTGGCTCATGACCGAGAGTGCCAATCTCATGGTAGACTGTCAAAAGCAGGGCAGACACCCCAAAATGGTGGTATGTTCTATAATTAGATTTCACCAATCCAGGAACAAATGTGAACTCCTAGATCACTGTCAGAGTCTTACCTTGGAGTCACAGACAGTTCCCTTGGGCTCTCCGGTCTATCTTGCCACCCAAGCAAGCTGGACTTAGTGATACATATCACTTACACAAACAATCACAAAATATTCAGGTTGCTCCCAGTCCCAAGAGAGCAGTCACTCATGCCGAGGTGGTTGAGAAGGAACTGAGGGTGGTTCGTCCATGCAGCCTAATATAGCCTTGGTGTGAGGCACAAGGATATCAACGGCGCATATGTGGGCTGAACAGATGCTGCTAATGAAAATCTACAATCAAAGGTGTTCATGCACCTTAAGTGAAGCACCCAGAGGCACACTACTCAAAGAAGAACATGGTCTTCCCATATAGGTCATTAAGTTTAACTCTGGATCTAAAACAATGTTTTTAAGATAATGTCTTGAAATTTTCCCTGCTTCCCAATTCTTCAACTTTCATAAAGAACTAAGATGGAAATTAAGGTCTGAACTAGTAGAGTTTCCTTGTTATATATATAGTACCTCAGAAATATCGAAATGAAACTCCAAAGTTTTCCCTGGCAGTTCCTTTGAAGTACTGTTCCACACTCGATGTATTTCCATTTTTGAAAGATCACCGTGTTGATAGGAAGGTAAAACCAGGCTGGCAGAGCGAGAAACTACCAACTTCAAGATGTTCAAGGCTTCTCTCCAGTGAATGCTCTAGAAGTAGATATTGTTTTTATCAAAACAATGTGAAATAAGAATGTACATCAATTAACAATACATTTACAGCCATATTATTAATCACGAATCTTAACAAAGACTAAAAGCGATGACACACAATTAAAGTAAGTTAAATATTGAAATCATTCATAGATTTTGGAATTCAGTACAAAATTGAGTTCTAGAAATAGTACTAGTAGAATAAAGTTTTTTTTTTTTAAAGGAATGGACATTTATATAAATAACATCTGCAGTTAAATGAGAAGGAAAAAATTACAGGACTACCATCAACCCTCATACTTCAGAGTATGAATTAATTACCAGTTAGGTCAGGAAGAGATTTGGGACATGGTATCATGGTACAGTTTTGCATTTACTTGCAAATAGATACATTATTATATATAGCAGAGACAGAGGGAGAATATTGGACTAGATATTGTGTGTCAGTGTGGTAATTCCTAAGTTCCTATATGAAAGTTTAATATTTCACAGTAACTACTGTTCAATTCATATTTTAATATAAGGAAGATGCAATATTTACCTGCACATATTTTTCAATTGTCTTTAACACTTCCATGTTAAATTGTTTAACAGGAATACCTGACAAGTCCATATAACTAAGAAGACTGTAGATCATCTGCAAGAGGGACTGTTGCATGCTGGGAAGGCCCTTTTCTAGTAGCTATGAAAAAACAAGTGAAAATAACTGGATTTTGAAAGGTTGTTTCTCAAATAAAACAGCACCAATATCAGTCATGTACAGACAGCATTTCCCTAGTTGGAAGACAATTTTAGAATGTCTTGTTACAATAATTAGTGATGATGTTACGAACAAGACAAACTACAAAAGGTAAATTATGGAGTCTGGAGCTAATTAACCATGTTCTGATAATGAAACAAAGCTTCTTGTCTGCCCAGTATTCCTATTCTAAGCTATCCAGAAAGCCTGTACAAGGACAGAATAAGCTGACAGCTGAAATTCAGAATTTAATTGAGAGAGACAGCCAATAAAAAATAGCCAAACATCTTTTTATTTTTTCCTTGGCTGGAAGTCTGAGGAAAAGGTTGAGGAAACACAGGCAGAAAGAATTAGACCACTGTTATTCAGACAGCAAATTATATTTACCCAATAAATTTTACTACCAATGCTCTCCAGCGATAGCTTCCATGGAAACACATATTCGCTAGGTAGGAAGATGGAATGCCTGGTCTCTCTCACGGTAGAGATTAATATAGAGATGAGCCTAAACTAACCCCCTAGCTTTAAATATCCCCAAACTCTGGAATGTTTGTATCTGCATCCAGGGTACAAGATCTTGATTTTGCAAACATGATTATGCTTAACCTGGCGTATGTGAGTAGTTCCACTGGCTTCAAAGATTAGAGCCTTAAGGATTTGTGTGTCACATGAATAAGAAATTTCTGATCTAAAAATTTTTTGTTAGTGGCTTCTCTCCTCATGCGTTGCTAACAGGTAATACCTCTCACATGTGGAAGTTGGAGGTGGCCTAATGTTGTTGGAGGCTCTAGGACTAAGCCCCACCTTTCAGCTCTGGCTGCCAGAAAAGTTCTCCCAAAGCTGCAGAAATACTCCAGCAGTCAATTATTAGCATTAACACAACAATTTGATATAATATGTAAATAAACTTAAGATCATTATATGTCCAAGTCTCCTTTTAGAGAAAAATTTCAAATTTTACAAATTGTATTCCAGTCATTTCCCAGATTAGTAGGTTGGGTTCAATGAGGAGAAAAGCTCCTAGCAGAAAGAAAATAACCAGGTAAGAAATTTTTCATTCTGCAGCACAGCTTCCCTTCTCATTCACCAATAATGGGAAGTAGTGAACAATGAATCACAAAAGTGGGGGGGGGGGAAGAAACAGAGTTTTAATTATTATTACAGTAGAATAATAGGCAGAAACAAGAATTCCCCCCATATAGAGTAAGAGCTGTATAATTTAAGGAATTATTTGGGAACCGACCCATCAACACTTTCCTACCAAAGGATGCCTCTGCAGGGGAATGGAAATCCACGTTGCAAATCTTCCTCAGATTAGGCTCATATCATTTTACCCACAATGCCACCAGGGACCTCACAGAGTGAGCCCTGACTCCTTTGTAATTGGTTTCCTAGCATGCCAACTGGTGCAGGATTTTAACATTGCACCTATAGGAACACTGAGGTCCTAAAAACTTGGCATTTTGGACCGGATGAGATGAACAGGGTACAACTGGCATGTATACTCCATATGCTTGAAAAATATCTTTAGAGCTCTAAGAATGCCCATATATGCCACAACCTTCCAAAGGGGTGCAAAGGAATAGAACAAAATGATGGGGGAACCCTATTTACCAGTAATTGTAGAAATAAAAACTCATCTGAAGAGAAAGGCTTCTGGAGCAGTACAAGTAGCTTTTTTCCTCATGACAACAGTAGTGTGGTTCTGTATGGACAGAGGAACTAATTCCAACCTTATCTTTTGGAGGTGATGCCAACTAAAAAAAGCCAGCCACAGTCTTGTCTAATCTGTTATTTTGATTAATTTTGACACCTGATGATACTCAGATAAGGAGTCTGATGTGCCTGTCTGAAGAACCCACTTTCCCATGGTGCTTGGTTGTAGGACTCCAGTGAACCATCCTGGAGAATCTCTAGTGTAAATGAGATCACCAGAACTTTGTGGTTACTATTATTGTTTATATTATGGTAGCATCCAGAGCCCTGGACCCCCTATGGCTGGGCACTGTACAAACAAGACAACCCTTGCCCCAGAGAGCATTCCATTTCTCCTCACACAGAAATGTAATTTGACCAGATCAATCATTGTAATTTCCTGGTTGAATTCTATCTGGATACCAAAAAATATCTATGATGCTAATGGAGAAACTCTGATAAACTACATTTCTCTTCCCATGCCCATCCTGTTAATTGTACGTTGTCCAGGTCTAAATGAAAGAATTTGAGAGGACTGGTGTTTTCTGCAGGTGCAATGGAGGTTCCTTAGTTGTCTATCAAGTCTGAAGTGCCTTCTGGGCCAGTGGTGGAGTGGGATGAGGTGGGACTTCAGTTCTGCTTTTTCCTCTTTTCTGCATCCTTTATGTGAACTGTCTTGAAAAACAGCATTCTTCTCTACCCAGGACATTATTTCCTTTATCACAGAGAGGTTCTGACCTCTGCTTATCCCTTGGCTTTGGAAGGAATATAAACATGCATGCTTCAGTCTTAAGCAAACCTCTAATGGGAAGTAAAAAGAAACTTCCCCTATGAACACTATAACTGCCCACTACAGGGTTTCTTGCACATTCCTCTGAAGTGGCTAGTGCTGGCTAGTGTCAGAGATGATACTGGACTCACTGGACCACTGGTCTGAGTCCATGTGGTCACATTTATATGTTTTTGTACACACATGCATTTGATAGGGCTGTTGAAGAGGAGAACTAAAAGGATATATGCTGAGATTTTGGAAATCAGTCTCCAAGTATGCTCCCCATACTGCAAGACTTGCTTCCATAGTGCATACGTAAGGTGCTACAGTAAAAAATGGGATGGTTTTCAGCATGTTGCTCATACTTACCTGCCCACAAAGGGACACTTGGATATGATCTGGGAATGACACCTAATTTGCATGGTCTCTGCTGAGTGGTTCCATGTATTTAGAAGGAATTGGAAGTACATTTTGAGAAAAAGCATTCAGGGGTTGACCCAGTGCATAGCACCAGCAATCTGAGCCACCAGAGAGAACTGTCTACAGAGGACCACTGCCAAGCAATGGATGATGCAATCAAGTTTTGGATCTTTGCAAATCTTTACCGTGATGGTAAAATTATTACCAGATTCATGCCTGGGTATGAATCCGTTCAAGCAGCTGGCAAGCTATGAATGGGTCTCTTTCTCTGGACAAGACACTGATTGCTATATTGTCCCTGCCTGAGCCTGGCTGTGACTACTAACAGCCATTTCTTCTGACTCTGGGTGTAAAGAATAGAGCAGAAAGAAGAGTCCTGTACAGGAATTGAGAATTCACACAAATGCTCATTTTCTCTTTGTCATACTGAGGATTTTGTTGCTTTGGGAAGAAAATACATGCAGGTTTCATTAGGAGCTTCTGCTCCAGATTCTTCCCTCTCTTAGGGGAATAGTCCCTTCATGAACACCTTTGGTGTTGACAGTGACCAGCGGATTGCTATGTTGGCTTTGGTAGTGAGGGTTGAGGCCTGTTTGCAATTTCAGCTACTAATTTCTCTAATGTTTTACCAAAGAGCTCTTCGACTGTAAATCTGGATGCCTAAAATATCTGTTTAATATGATTGTTTGCTATTCATGAGTGTAACATGGCTTCTTTATAGCCACGGGGTTAGGAGCCACTGCTCTTGTCACAAGTCACATCAAAGATCTGACCAGAATAGAAGTGAAACCTCTCAGCCCATGCAATGAGTCACCTGCTTGCCATCAAGTATATTTTCCTTATTAAGTACAGGACAAAGTTTTGGACTGAATGTCTACAGCTGAGGCTTTGAAATGTCTGTGTAATGTGTCCTCCTTGTTATGGCCTATGGAATCTTTTAGAAGGAAGTTCTGTTTTGAAGGTGTGACTATGTCTTTCACTGGTTCCCAAACTTTATGTTTTTATATAACATTTTGGTTTAACACTTTTTTCATGGTGCATGTGTGACAACCACTCTCATGACTGACACATGGGGGATTGAAATGGGGAACCTTCAAAGCTAAAAGCATGATCTGCTACCGCTTGAGCTGAAGAGCCAAAGCTCTGAGGCTGGAGGCTAGAACAACTCACATCTTTTGTCCATTGGCAAAGAGGGTGACCTGAAACACACACTCATCAGTAGGTTGCACATGAGGAGTGCTTACCCAGGCTAATTATAGGTTGGAGGTAGCACCCTGTTCATCCTGGTCAAGGGATCCCTCAACCCAGGGGGGGTACTGGTACAAATACCTTCACTGTGGGAATAGTCTGCTAAATGGCCACAGGATCCTGAAAGGATGTCTGCTGCCTGCTCTCCAGGCACCCATGTTAGCTCTTTAGTAGAGATCTAGTATCACTTGTGACTTTACTCCATAAAACAGGAGTCAATTTGAACTCGGGAAGGGCTCTCTCATTTTCCTCCCTGTAATTCCATGATGGTGCAGCTGTATGGGGAATGGAAGCTTTGCATACCTCTGTTCTGGTCACAGTCTGCCTAAGGTGCTTCTTATGCTTGCTGGGATTCTCTCAGAGACCCTTGTCACTCAGCATGCCCAGAACACCTTGTCTACTCTTGGAGGACACTTCATCCAGTTCTCTGCGATCCAAAAACTCATTTTGACTCCATATTTTGTCACTCGGGTTCCTTTATTTGGCATACAGCAAAGCTACGCTGAATTGATCAAACTCAAGCATAGGAGGTGAGTATAGAGCATACCACACATCCAAAGTTACACAGAAAACCTCTTCCTTTATATATATTTACACAGTACATTTCACTATACAATATTCACTATACATTGCAACATTTGAGATTGGCTTGGTTACTTTGTAGGAACCAATCCCTGTACAGCATGCTCTGTCCACGCACAGTTCATGTATAACCTGATCTTTACACTCCAAGTTAATCTTATCCATTGTCCGTAGCACCAGGGTGTTCCTGCTTATCTTAGTTAACACAGACATCCTGACTCTCACATACTGCATCTTAAGCCCTAATTTACAACTTAACCTTCCGTTCACCTTCCCAATTGGCCCACTAAGAAGTGAGGCAAGTTACTTATGTCATGCAAGGCCTACAATGCATTAGTGTGGAGCCAGAGTACGGAGAGAGGAAGGGCAAAGAGAGAGACCCCTTCCTACCCATCAGATTCTGAGCCCCATTCCTTGGCAGACTGAAAACTAGACAGGCACAATTCCCATTACACTGCAGCCTGAGTTAGGGCTGTGCAGGAGGAACAGGCTTCTCTGCTGGTTCAGACATGCTGCAGGGTAAGAAAGGGGCAGGGTACCTGCTACAGAGAACTGTCAGAGAACCCCTGTAAGCGGAGATGCCCCAGCATACACTTCCCTCTCAGGGTGGGGAGGAAAAGGAGAAAGGTTTTAAACCCTGACATTTACTCCACTTGCTCATTAACAATCTGAACTGCTGCCTTACAAAGGGGATGCTTGCTTTTGCCTATTTGGAACTCAAGAGTCTCTGGCCTTTGCAAAAGCAAACCCTGAGCAGGCTGAGAGGTGTTCCCCTCTCTATGGGAATTGTCATGCTCCTGGTTGAGCCTCCCATGATGGAGTTACAGCTTTGGGTGGGGGTTGAAGCCCTCCACACCTCTCCGACTCAAAGCCACATGTTCTGGTAGTGCAAAGGTCAGAGACTTTATGGCTAAAGGGCACAGTTATCCTCTCTAGCCTGTAACCTGGCAGGGGGAGGGTCAGCTTGTGGCAGCAGGACACAGCTCATGCTCTTGAGACTGTATTCCAGCAAAGCGGCAGCATGACATAGAGCTTGACCTCTCAAGCTCACACCCTGGCAGAGTGAAGGGTCAGCAGCTTGTGGCAGCAGGGCATAGTTAGCCTTCTGAAGCCCATACCTCAGCAGAGTGACAGTCAATGGTTTATGGCAGCAGAGCATCGTTTGTCCCTTGGCAGAGTGAGGATGATGGCTTGTGGCAGCAGGGCTCAGTTTATCCTGTGAGGCTCCTGGAAAGCTCCCTATAGCTCCCCCCCTGGACTTGGCTGGATGTTTGCAGGGCTTCTCTGCTGCCACAGTGGAGGGCAGAGGGTGCTCACTAGAGAAATGTTGAACTGGAGAAGCCAGAGGATTAGAGCCTCAATACTTCACTGATTCCTCACCTCAAGGGAGAGAGAGAGGAGCTAGAAGCAAAGTGAAGTCATGCATGGCAACAAATAAACATGAAAGTTATAGAACAAAATAGTTGGGAAAATCTGAAGTGCCAACCTGTTCTGCTGCCAGGGCAGAAAATCTGGTGGCCTGAGCAGAAGAATGGGGCTCCAGCTTGGAGTCTCCAGCAACATTAGATGGCCTCTGAATTCTGCAGGCAGGTGGTATTACCCATTACTGATGAATGAGGAGAGAAGAAGTGAAGAAGAATTGGTCTCTCTGGAGTTAAAAGAATGTGTTTGGATCCATTAGGCATGGACATTTATAACAAGAAATGGATTGTTATGTAACAAGTGATTTAGGTTAGATTGTGCAGCCCTTATGTCCCATTGAAAGAAATGACAGAAAATACTAACTCCTGTAAGTGCTCACCAACACGAGTAAGGGTTGGACAATCTAGCCCATAACTTTAAACTATAAAAGGTTAACAAATGCATAAGGTAGTTACACACTCCTTCTTTGTACTCCAGTTCTGGGTGTAGTGGAAAACCCTATTTATTCACGGCAAGCACAGCTTTAACAAGTAATCAACTTGAGGACTTTACTTGACTTTGGATATGTTTTGCATTTAGTGTTTAATTTTTTCAAAAAAGCATAAAGCAAAATTCTGCTCTCATATCTGCACTGTGAATAAGAACAGAGGATAGGAGATCTGTAATGAATATCCAAGAGGCTTTAGCCCTTCAGTTTGTCTGTCAATAGAAGATGGAAAACTGTTTGGTTTTAAAAACTTACCTCAGCCAAATATGTAACCATACTCAGGGTAATGTCAGCAAATGCTTCATGGAGGTAACGGCAAACAACATTTACCCATGTAGCACAGTCTCTTGTATAGCTGTGAGTTTTATAAAGGGTCATTACATGTGCAAGATTTGATAGCTTGGGGTTCTTTTCTTCCAGACAAACCTAATTAAATATGAATGTCACATTATGTTAAGAACAAGTCAAAAATATTCACAAGACTTAATATGATGTACGATGTACTAAATAAGTTTCCTACCTGAGCAATTCTCTCTGCTATATCCTTACAGAACTGGTTTGGGCTATCAAAATGTTGAATTAAATGAGGCAGGAGACACAAGACATTCAGTGGGAACCCTGGTACAGAACAATATAGTACAAAGTGGATATTTGATAAGAGGACAGGAATATTAGCGGTCTTTTAAGCAATATTTTGCTGGCAGCTATAATCACAAAAGTACATTACAGTGATGTTATATAGACTCTTTCAAATTGTTCAGGCCCCATATTTCACCTTAAGACTGTTATATCAGATTAAACATAAAATCTATTAAATATATGACAGTGTGATTGTGTCATTACAAAGAATGGGACTGATTCTGCAAACATTTACTCCCATACAAAGTGCTTACTACCAGGTATAATCTCATGGAATTAAGTATCAGAGGGGTAGCCGTGTTAGTCTGAATCTGTAAAAAGCAACAGAGGGTCCTGTGGCACCTTTAAGACTAACAGAAGTATTGGGAGCATAAGCTTTCGTGGGTAAGAACCTCACTTCTTCAGATGCAAGTGAGGTTCTTACCCACGAAAGTTTATGCTCCCAATACTTCTGTT